CAAGTTGCATAGGGAGGCCTGGACATACTTCCTGTGCTACCTGTACTGCATGCATTGCTGGGTACAGCCCGTGTGCTACACTCACAGCCAGGGCAAGGGATCAGTTTAGGGACCCACATACCAGATCTAGCCATGCGGAGTAAGTTTGTCACCCTTGAGCTCAGGAAATACAAACTAGACAAAATTACTCTACAGGTAGATACATAACTGGCTGGATCATTGTGCTCAACCCCAGCAGTCCTCAATGACTCAATATCTGTTTGGGAGGAGGCATCAAGCAGGGTTCCCCAGGGATCTGTCCTGAGTCTGTATCATTTAACATGTCAGTGTGATTTGGATGATAGGATCAGGTGCACTTCTAGCAATTTTCCAGATGTCACCAAGTTGGTTGGGGTTGCAGATGCTCTGGAAGGCAGGTTTAGGATCTAGAATGACCTGGATAGACTGAAAAAATGGTATGCAATGAACCAGATGAAATTCAGCCCACAACTAAAAAGTCCTGCACTTTGGACAGAATAACTACATGCATGAATACAGACTAGGGAGTGATTTGCTGTGCTGTAATACTGCAGAGGTAGATCTGGGGGGTTACAGTGGACCAGAACCTGGCTATGAGCCAAGAGCGTACTCTTATTCCAAAAAAAGAAAGTCAATAGCATATTGTGTTGCATTAACAGGAGTCTTGCAAATCAAGTGAAGCAATTCTTTCACTCCTTTCAGGTGAGACCTCAAGAGTCCTAGATTATAAGGTACGTAGTTCTAGCAAGACTCCCCAAGGGACTGGTTCTTACCCTTAGGCTATGTTCCCCACCAGTACATGTGGGAATGTTTGTTCACCAGAGCGCCCTAGGGGTTGACAAGGTCGAACAGTTATAAACTACTGCAAGACTGTTTCAGGCTGGACATAAGGAAGAATTTCTTTACTGTCTGAGCCCCCAAGGTCTGAAACAGCCTACCATTGGAGGTAGTTCTAGCACCTACATTGAACACCTTCAAGAGCAAATTGGATGCTTATCTTGCTGAGATCCTATGACCTCAGCTGACTTCCTGCCTTTTGGGCAGGTGGTTGGAGTCGATGATCTTCTGAGGTCCCTTCCAGCCCTAATGTCTATGAATCTATGTTATCAATTACCTGAAGAAAGCAGCAATAATACAATGTTTAGATTCCATTAGTTCTACCAATCAGTTCTCATCGTTTATACAAGTAATAAAATACTTCGGTAACATTTTAAAAACACAACTATTTCATTCCTCTGGATTTACAGGAGTAGCAGCACCTACCTACAGTTTGGACAGCTTGTGACCTAACTCTTCTACATAAAAAATGCCTGAGAGCCCCTGAACCAAATGGCTTAATATAAAACATAATCCATTCCGAGTTGTCATTGAGCATTTGTGCTCTACACACAACTATCAGTCTTCTAAAGTTAATCATAAGAAGTCAAAAGCAACATGCTTTTTTTTTTTTTTTTTTTAGCATTTCCAGAGGCTGTTTCTACATTTTTTAGGCCCTTTCTTACTGCTAAACTGTTACTAGAAATAACAATGAATGTCAGATTTAAAACTTGGAACTTTTTCTTAATATTGATTGATTGCAAATAGGAAAAGCAAGGAATAAGTAAAATAGTTTAGAACAGCGGTGCCCAACTTTCCAGCCCTGCCGGCCAAATGGGTGGTTTCAAGATATGGCCGTAAAGCAACCCTATGTGCCAGTCCGACTGCATGCCAGAATGATCTAGTGTACAGAGTCATGTTGGCCCACAGGGCTCTGCACAGGTCCATACATTTGGCACTACGGTGAAGCATCAATTAATCCTCTCAAGTTTCCTGGCCTGTGGAGAGACCCACAGGCTGGAGGTTCAACACCACTAGTTTAGAAGACGGATTATGTATTTGCCTTGAAACAAATGTTTTATATAGTTATCTTTAACTGGGAAAAATGGCTGTGAACTAGTGATGATATCATTTGGACTTTTCCTCTGACAACTTCAGTTTTGCAACTAACAACAATTTTTCTTCTGAAAAACAATTATTTTACAACTCTACAAAAGTATTTTGCAATATATAAACAGTATTTCATTAGAGGAATAAAAATAAATGTCTTCAACAGAATAATAAGTAGAATAATAATTCTTAAGTAGAATAATAATTATACTTTAATAAACAAATCCCAACAGGTACCTATGAAGCCTGTAAGCTTTATTCAGGAATTCTAGCATATATTTCTTCAGAATAAGAACTCTCAAATGATCAATGTATGAGATGTTAGATTCTCAAAGCTACACTAAGGGTATAGACAGATGTTACAATGTATCCATATTAGATGATAATCAAAATCAGCTGTTATGATGTTAACCTGCCTGAATCATCCTACAGCGATGTAGAAAAATCATCACAACTTTAACATTTTTTCTTTCAGGATATGGAAAGACATTGGATTTCTTCCTGTGAAAAAAAATGTTTTGTTCCATGGAAAACTGCACATGTACCTAGCTACTGACCCACAACAAACCCAATGTCTTCTGGGAAATAATGCATTAAAAACTTTTTTGTGGAAACTCACAAGTCATCTGTATAGTTGTGGCATAACATCCTGCCACAAGCCAATGAGACAGTGTTCCAGGCATCCTACAATGGTACACTACATTTCCATCCCTGCTCTGGCGCTCAGGGCAGAACTCTGCTGCCTAGAGGTAATCAATTACAGGTGGCCTCTCCCACTGATTTACTGCCCACCATGACATCCGGCAAGCCGTTCTGTACCCATTATGCATCTCCTTCCTCCAACCACTTCCACTGGTTCCTCCAAGCATAGCACCAGCTGGAACTGGGGAGACGCAGTAGACTTAGCTCAACATTTGAGGACAGGAGAACAGGCTAGCATTCCAGTCCAACTACAGCAACCGGGTTTTTGAGCACACTGCGAGAGGACCCATAAAACATTAACCATGTGTCCAGCATGTCCAAAGCCAGTTTTGTGGAAAGAGGGGGAAAGAGGAAAAGGTGGCAGAAACTATTGAATTTGGGTTCTAGACAAAAAGGTTTCTTTCAGCACTGGCCACAGCAATGCCAGTCCTTTCATAAAGTCACTTGGGAACAGAAGTTTGGAGAAAAAAAAATTTCATTATGCGCCAGAGACTCCTTTCCTTGTTTCTCAAGTTGTGCAAGGGCGAGCGTGAGTGCAAGCATCACGGCTGCTTGCAGATGCGGGGCAGGGGCAGAAGAGGAATCACTTCAGTCTGACCCAGCATGCCAAGCATCTGTATAGCTCATGCGCTTCCGCGGGGCTTTTTGATGCTTTCACCTAATAGACTATTGAATGAGTTATTAGATAAAAGAGTCAAAAGGCTCTGCTGAAGCACGTGAGCTATACAGATGCTGGGGAGCCAGGTCAAACTGACATGATTCCTCTTCCAGTAAAGTGTTGTTTTATTTTTTTTCCCCATGCCCGTCAGCACCCCTCCTGCTTTTTCTTATATTTGTTTTCTAGGAAGATGAGAATGAGGCTAGAGAAAGGGAAAGGGAATGTAAGGAAATTGCTGGGAAAAGCACCACCTGCTCATGGCCACTTTGGCCATGCCCAGACAAATGTGGTTGTGTGGTATGTGACACCGCAGACAGTATTTAGATGTTCTCCACACTGCAAGGGAGCGCTGCCCATGCATGCACTCCTGTCTTTTTTTTTTTTTTTGGGGGGGGGTTTTTTGAGTCTGCTGTCATGGGGTGGTGTCCCTGAGATGGCTGTGTTGCCCATAGGGTCCTGCAATTGTGCCACCTTCATCCTAGGGGTGCCTTTTCGTTTTGCATATGGTTTTAAAACCGTGTCTCTTGTGATGAGGTCTCAGTTTAGTGTAGTTTCCTGTTGTCACTGGACTCGGCCTCAGTAACTGTGCCCTCTGGCGCTTGGGTCTCCTCACCCTCTGTCGCTGCACCCTCTGGTGCTGGGGCTCTGCACAGTAGTGTGCCCCAATGAGGCCTCCTCCCCAATGGCCTCAGTCCAGTCCACCAGATTAAAAAACAACAAAAATGAGCCCCTAGGCTATAAACTGACAATAATACCAATGACACTGGAGGCCACACTCTGCACTTTTAAGAGAGCTAGTTTCTCGCTCAGCAATGTGTGCCTCTTATCCCCAGGCTGGCTTCTGTCTGGCTTCTAGGGCCCTCTGAGGGCATAAACTGCCTAGAGAAAGGAGCAGGCACACCTTAGTGCCCTGTGACACCTGCATATCCAGGGGTCAAAAAAACCATTGGGAAAAAACACAAAAAAAGCAGAGCAGTGCCCACACAGGCAGCATGCGCCACTCAGAAGTGGAACTGGGCTGCCTGGAGCCACACTGTGGCTGCTGGCCAGGCTCCGTGCGGCAGAAATCGCTGCTGCTACAGCCCCAAGGCCCCATGTAAGGCTGCTGGGCCCAGCCTAGCGCTGGCCCCAGCCCTCCCTACCCCACCCAGGGTAACTTGCCATGTGCCAAAGCACACGTTGCACAGGTATTCCCCAGGAACAAGTAGCAGCAGTACAAGGTGTGCTACTGCTATTTGTCCCTGGGGAACCAAACGTCCATGCTAGTCTGGACGCAGCCTTTTTGTTGTATAGGAAGCGTCCTCATTTGTCAGTAAATGAAGGTCCAGTAAGGGTTTAAATGGAAATGCATGGATCTCTACTTTCAAAGTTTATCTTCACAACATCAGGGTATACCACTAGCTTCATTCTACAAAAGGCTAAGAGTTAGTGATTTCCTCAGGATCACATAGCATGTCTTTGGGAGAACAGCAATTAACCTTCTGCCTTTGAAAGTCCCAGCTAGTGCTTTAACCACCCAAAAATTCTTACTCCTATCTCTGTCATCTCAACTAGGGGAGGCTAGCACAACTTGGTCCATACTGGCAAAGGTTAACCATTATGAACTGCATGGCATAAGGGCTGTGTTGCCTTTTGTAAAATGGTAGTTTCTTAGCTGATTTATTTTAAAAACAACAAAATAATACCCAAAGGCTTAAAAAGCAGTTTAGGATTTTATTGTACAACTGCTTCAGGCACTAGTACAAAACATCATTAAAAATAACTGTACATGATATAATATTTTTACAAAACATTAATAGGATGCCATTTTAGAAGCTTGCATTGTTAAGAGGTAACTTTTGGATAATAATCTTTCCAAAAGCATTTAGTTGTCTTGACTACACAAGACAAATGTATGTGCATCCACACATGAGCATATTTCATATGTGCACACGTGAATTTTCATGTAATTTACATTTTAGTTGTAGGGAACACCAAGTGTATCCATCACCATTCGAATAGCCTGAAGAGGATCCACAATTTCTCGCATGTTATCTTTCCTCAGAACCCAGTCCGGTTTAATCCTATGGAAAAAAAAAATGGCCTAAAATCAGAAAGGCACACCCTTTTCAAAAGAAAACAGAAGACATATTTTTAAATAATTCTTACCTCGAAACTACTTTTGTTCGTACTGGAGTTACAGGAACAAAGTAATTCCCATGTACAGATGCAGCAGTCTTGTGTTTGGAAAGTGTTCTTTCTGCCTCCATTTTGTGTTTACGAGCTGTAACTTTATACAGGCTCTGAATGCGAACAACAGCTCTAGGTTTGCTTTGAATTTCCTAAGAAAGGGAAATGAAACACAACCAATATGCAAATAATTAGTAAAAATTAATGCATACAAAAAACTTCCCTCAATGCAGTCTCAGTTTTCCTAAAGTACACAGCACCACTTCCCACAAACACAATGAAATATACTAATAAGCATGAGAGAATCTCAGTCAGCATTTAAACAATCTTCCTGGTCATGCACATTTGGGAGGTCTATAAGTGGTATTTAACCAGATATTTGCAAATATCCAATTATGTTTTAGGACTTCAAAACCAATTGCAACTACATGAGTAAATATGGTCAAATAGAAAAGACCCATGTAACCACCAATTGTAACACTCAAGAAACATAGAACTGATCTGAACAGATTCACACAATAGGGTGGATAACCAGTTGGTGGATATTTATAGTGCAGAGCCTGGTCTACATGAAACACTCTTGTATGTTGTTACCACCAGAAGCTGCACAGATTAAATTAAATTTCAGAACTACTGTATTTACCCAAATCCAAAACAACTTCAAATTTAAGACAACCCCCTCAATAATCAGCATGAAAAGCAGATGAGTGAAGTGAGGGCCCCATCCTGCTGCCTGTCTCCCATCACACATCCCTGTGCAGCCCATTGTCCATTCCCTGCCCCACACCTGGCTTCTGCTCTGCTCTGGATTGGGGCAATCAGCAAAAGCAGCAGCCCAGCCTAGCCCAACCAAGAAGCAGCGGTGGCTGCTTGCAGCTTGGCTGGGTCAGGGCTGGAGGAACTGGAGCCAGAACACCTTCCCCTCCCATTATGTTTACTATGGGGGTGGGGCAGGGGGGGGTCAAAAAAAAGGGAGAAACAGGACACTTCTTGGATTTGAGTAAATACTGTAGATTGTTTCTACAGACAATGGTACAGGGCAACATGTTTCAAAATTGTACTGCCAGCAGCATTTGAGAACACCAAGCAAGAAGCCTCCTCCTCCTGCAGTGGGCAGCAACAGCACAGAAATATTTAAAAGTTTCGCCAAGAAAAAAGTATGAGTGATTTATCAGCCAGAATATAATGTAAACTCTGGATAATTATCAGCTTTTTCAAACAGTCAAATCTCAGGACACAGACCTTGAGCAGATGAGGGCATATGCAATACAACAAGGTGAAGCACTCATCATTTTCAATATCAGAGCCAAAAGTTTAATATCAACAGGACTCGGTTCCAAGTAATTACAACAGCAGTTGATAACTATAGATACCTATGCAAATATGTCAAACATCTGAAAAAGGAGGCAAAACTGTACGAAATTTCTAATAAAAAAGTATGAAGACTTACTGAAGCTCTCCTCGAGTCCTTTAAAAGAATGGCAAACAAACAACAGGTCTTTGTGAAAATGCTTCCACCTTTCTCTGAAATTTTATCACCAGCCTTCCCTCTGTACCTCTGCAGCAGGTCCAGAAGTGTATCTATAGAACTTTCCACTTCATAAACTGCTTGGGTTGTTTTTTCATACTTAAAAAGTCCAAAAAACCACACATTATGGTAACAGATCTTCAAAAAACCATTGCAAACGACAAGGTAAGACTATTCTCAAATCTGACCAATACTGTGATACACGTTTTAACAAGTTAAATGTGCTAAATTGCAGATTTCATTTATTTTTTTAAAGAGAGCCTTGAAGCAGAACAACCAATGTCCATATTTTGTCATCTTTATTTTTAGCCTGTTTATCTAACTGAGGTTCTCCTCTCCAAAACCTTTTAGAAACAAATGTTTCATACCTTCTGTGTAAGCCTATAACATTATATTAAAACTCAGCTCACCAATTAAAATACTATTTTCTAATCAAACTGATATTTTTAAGTTATACACAAAACACATTCTTTGGATAATATTTTTGACCTGCACACTATACATTCCAGTCATTTCAGTATATCAGTTTATTAGGGCTGTGCGAAGCTTCAGTCCCAGATTCAATTTGGTGGAGATTTGGCACCCAAATCTCCAAATCTGAATCAAATCAGAAGACCCTTTAATCTCTCCAAATTGAATCAGAACCCTCTGAATTGTTTTGGAGAAATTCAGAAAGATTTGGAGATTCAGACAGAGACAGCTTTAAATGTTTTTTCTACATACCTGTAAGTAGCAGAGGCTTGTGAGTGCTGTGATGCTGGGGCTCATGGAGCATTCCACAGAAGAACGGGGGGGGGCTTCCCAGTGTACTCAGCAGCAGACCCAGAAGTGGACCAGAAGCACTACCGGTCCACTTCTGGGTCCACTGGGGAGTGCGCTGGGGGGCCCCCTGCCTTGGCAACTGGCACCTCCTGGGCCTGGGAGGGGCACCCGGGGTCCCCCCCCATGGCTGACTGCCCAGCTGGGGAGGTGCACGGGCCCCCCCAGTAGACATGGAAGAGGACTGGAAGTACTTTCTGTCCACTTCTGGATTCACCACCAAGCACATGGGCCCCCCCGCACTCCTGTGGGACAATCCATGCACCCCAGCATCGCAGCGATCACGAGCCATGCTGGTACCTTGAGGTATATAGAAAAAAAACTTTTAAAGCTGTATCTATGGCGAACTATTTGGCCAAATCAAATCAGGGACAGTGATCCGAATCAACCAATCAAGTCACTGTCCCCGGTTCAGGCCGAATCCGAATCAAATAGGGCCCATTTCGCATTCCCCTACAATCCATCTATAACACAATGTTCTGTTGTTTTACTTAAAAAATTGTACAATTGCTCTTATAAGCAGGTATAGATTTGGAGAAAAAAAAAACATCCTAATGCCAGCCTTCTGGATTGTTGCATAATTCTAACCAATACATTAAAGTTCCAGTGCTCAAAACTTTTCCAGCCCTGATTTGTAAATCCTATACAAAACGATCAATTCAGGGAAAATTCCATAACAAATATTCAATGCCCATATTCAAAAGTAACAGTTAAAAACCTCGAGCCAATGAGTGTAAATAACTTGCCTTTTTACAATATAATAATTGTTTATGTTAAAGAAAACATTTTAACCATTTGGTTCATATCAGGAAGTGAGGGGTATTGTTTGCAAGACAAGTTGATTAATTTTAACCAACATAATTTAAAAGCATGAGTATATTAAAATTATCCCAACTTTTGAACCCAAGAAAGAAAATTCAGGAATACCTTTGAAACATTAAGCAGGACTTGAATTGAATATTTGATAACATCCATACAGGGGACACTACGGTTGCAACTTCGTATCAGTGTAAAAATGGTGAAGATTGCTCCACTCTGAGCCATGTCTTCACAACAGCGTGGAGATAGCCTGGTAACAACCTCTAAAAAGTAAGAGCATTTAATTAGGAAAGCTAATCAATTTATTTTCTTTGTTAAACTTGGTAAATATACTAGAACAAAAATATCTACTGATTTTCAGAATTTCTAAATTAATAATATGAACATTCCATCGAGATAAGACAAAGTAGGGTACATGATAAATTTTCATTTAACTTGATACAAATGAAAAAAACCTGTCTTTATACACTAAATAGCCTGTACTGCTGGGAGCATGAAAACTATGAAATCAGAAAAAATGATAATGACTACTGTCACTAAGTAGGCCTTTAAAGTAGTTTGTTAACAGAGCCCTACCTTCATTCAGAAAGAAATGGTTTCATTCAGATTTGTATTTTCTACTTCAGGGGTCAGCAATGTTTTGGCCAGAATACCAAAAGCACTCCAACCTCCACCCACACCTTGATTTGGCATGCCAGAGGCAGGGGAGCCACAAGCAGCCTGATCCTCCTGGCTGGAGGCAGCTACATGCATGCCTGAGCAGACACTGGGGTGGAGCCAGGGTTGCATTCTCCTGGCTCCTTCCCCACAATATGCTGCCAGGTGCACATGGTCCCACCCCTCCCACCCAAAGGCCAGAGCCCAGTGCTGCTTTTTGCAGTCTGCCTGCCACCTACTTCAGCTGCCCAGAGGCTGCAAAAAGCTGCACCCAGCTCCACAGCCCTGGCACTGGCTCCATGGGGGCGGCGCCTGCACACACACCTTCAGGCACATGGCTAGGACAGGACCTGGGGCACTGCAAACCTGGCCCATCCCCTGCCATCTGCCCCAAGTTGCACATACAGCTGCCACTGTTACGGAGCTCCACACAATCGTTTGCAGCCTCCCAGCTACCTGCCACATCCAGCCCAAGCTATGGGCAGCTGCAGCAGACAGCAGGCAGGCTGCAAACAGCTGCGCCAGGCTCTGCAGCCCCAGCACCAGTTCGGTGGGCAGAAAGTGGGGAAGGGGCGAGGGCTGAGCTGCCCCAAGTCTCTGCACAGCTGCCACAACTCCGGAGCCAGTGCCAGGGCTGAGGAGCCCCATGCCGCTGTCTGCAGCCTCCTGGCCTGGGCTCTGCAGCCACAGAGGCTGGGCTGCTTGTAGCAGGGCTTGCAGCCTCCTGGAATCCTGCTGTGAGCAACCCAGGCTCCATGGTCTGTGGCAGATGCCCAAATCCTGGGCTGGCTGTGGCATGCCAAGAAAAGCGGGCTCACATATCACGCTCTGTCGCACGTGCTGGGGGTTGCCAATCCCTATTCCAAGTCATTCCCTTTTACGATTTGTATCGGAAGCTTAACTAATACATCTTGCTTTCCCCTTCTTTCTGAGCAATTCAGGACTGCAGAGGCATCTCCAGACTGCTCAGTTTTTAATTATAAAAAGGAACTACTCACCTAGATGCTTCAGTGCTGCTAGAATATAAGAAATATGTTTATATTGTAGAAGATATTCAATGGCAATTGCAGTTCTGTTACATAGTTTGTTTTCTTCTCTGCTGTTTTTATTGGCTATTTCCAAACTATGTCGTAGAGCTTTAGTTTTTGCTGTGTCATGACTCTTCCTCCAAGAATGTCCCCTCCACAGTGCCTGAGAGAAAACATGACAGGAAGCTTTCATAAATGGGTAGAATAATTAAGAATGGCAATAACATCAAATTTCCAGTAGTATCTCAAAACAAAAATTTACACAAGCATGATCTAGCATCATAATTACAGTTTTAGATTTGCAAGTATTCAGTCATCACATTTAGTATTTATTCCTCAAAACACTAGATCCTGATTTAAAAATAACAAAACTAACAGAAACAGGTCTCCACTATAATTGAAAACTTTTTGGTATTTGGTTCCCCCAAGCTAGTGTTCCTCTAAAGTTAACCTGTACTTAAAACAAAAAACACCCCTAGGAGGTCATACAACAAAAACACAAAGGCTTCTCCAGTTACTAAAATAAGAGCAGACATGAAAGTCTGTGATTCTCTTACAAAAATGGATCTACCTGAAACTTCATTATTCCATTGTTCAGCTTTCTTCTGTGCCGGTAGAACAGGAACCTTCGTACAGCTTGTTGTATTATGGTTGCAGCCTCATTCCTATGATTAAGCCAGGCTCGAACCTTTCGTTGTATTGTAACAATTTTCTGACGATCTTGTAAAAATTGTTTTTGCTGCAGTTTTGCTCGAAACCAACTCTGTAAAGAAACAGGTAAATTCTTTTAAAAAAAAAAAGAAATTTAAGCTTCTTCTCTATCCCTTTCCCACACACCTGTCAAACCATCCAAGACTGACAGATAAAGAACCAAGAACTGAACACTAACTTTAAATGGAATTGGTGGGAGGAGGAAGAACTAGTGGCAGACCCAGTGCTGCACACTCCCCCCTGCTTTCTTCTACAATTTAATTTTCTCCATGGAAAGGGTGTTCTACTTTTTTCCCCCCCAGCATTGTGCCACAGGGTGTGGGGAAGCAGTAGGAAGAAGGTTACTGCATGCTGCATCTGGGCATTAAAAAGAATTATGCTCACAGTTGCTTCTACTAAGTGACAGATACATCAATGAGACCAAAACTGACTCCTACCTGGTAATGCTGCAAAGAAAGGGAGGTTGCTATAGAAGTCATTTTGCACTGGAAGTTATTTTGGTACCCTTATTTCAGACCCCTCCTTTAATTCAGTTGTTTCTTGCCAGTTTTGTGGTCTGGAAGTGATTTTTTCTATATGGTCCAACTGGCAAACTGCCACATAGCTGCTCACCTTCAAACCAGCATGTTGGGAGTCAAGCTTTGGTGGTTTAAATTACCAAGGTTGATCTGAGCAGTTTCCAGTCTTATTAGTAGTTTATAAAATGTACTTTCAGTGACCCTGGATTCTAGTGGGATGACAGGGAGAGGAAGGGGAAGATATAATTCTGCTTTGAGCAACTTGTAATTTTCCTCTCCCCTTAGCTCTCCTACTTCTAGGTTGAAGGAGAGGTGAAAACTGGGAATCTAGTCAAACAGGCAAGCCTACAGGAATGGAGTATAGCTTTCAAAACTGGGATTGGATGTGTGGTATATGGGACCACTGAGAATGAACAACAGTGCTGAATAGTATGAAATTCTTATTTCAGCCAGGTATTTATTTAAATGAAGTTGTGATCTCCATAATTTAACTTTCATCGTTTTTCATCCACATATTCCAATACTAATACAACTAATGGACATGAGACTAACTGGTAAGAAAACTACTAGTATGAAACTACCCTTGCTTCCCAATATGGCTAACCTGTATGCATATGACAGAAGAGATCTGCATTTGTGCGTGTTTTAACACAAGGTAGCTTCTGTATGACCTCTGAATTTTAATAGCAGAGAGATGATGATATGTAGCAGCTGTAAAATAAAGCAGCCTCTTCTTTTGTTTCTCTTCTAAAATCTAGAGAAAAATAAAATTAGGGAAAAACATTACAATTCAACTATATCATTTTTACCTACTAGTACTAGCAGTAAACTGTCATTTCTAAAACCAGTGCTTTTACTGAAACCAGAATTAGCAAAATAACTTAGTCCTGAATAAACTTTATAGCCAGTACAGGTTTCCCTTTAGGTATGTGGTTGATCCATTCCCAGAAAATGGTGCATAAATCAAACTTGCATAAAGCAAACCCAGTTTACAGTAGAACAGATAGGGATGCATTCTCATGACAGTGACAGAGATGGAGTGAAGCTGGGGCTAGGGAAGGGGTGGGGAGAGGAGCATGGCACAGGCCAACAGCTACAAGCAGGTGGTGTCTCCTGGGGATGCAGCAGGTGTGGCACCAGGCTTTATGGCATCTGGGGTGGGCAGCAGCCCCACTCATCCTGCTGCTCTGCTTTTCCCCACTTACCCCAGCCCCTGCTGCGGTGGCCCTGGGACTGGCCGATGCCAGCTGCCTGCAGCCTCTGGGCTGCACCATGCCCCAAACCCCAGAAGCTCCGATTCCCCTGGGACACCGTGCCCTGAACCTCCCGGCGCAGCGCAGCACAGCGCAGTACAGCCCAGCAGCTGCAAGCCAAGTGGTGTCTGCTGCTCCCAGGGCTGCAGCAGGGACGGGCAGCAGCCTGCAGAGAAATGAGCAGGCTGGGGCTGGCAGCAGCACTGGGCTCTTCCCGGCACTTGGCAGTGGCCCTGCGAGGGCAGGCTGGGGGGAGCTATGGCAAATTTTGGAGTGGCAGCAGCCCCCCTCCCATCGCTGCAGCTCGTCCCAAGCGCCAGGAAGAGCCCACTGCTGCTGCTGGTACCAACCTGCTTTTGTCCTGCTGCAGGCTGCCACCCGCCCCGGCTGCAGCCCTGGGAGCGGCAGATGCCGCCTGCTTGAAGCCGCTGGGCTGGGCTGTGCTGTGCCAGGGGTTCAGGGCATGGTGCCCTGGGGGAAGTGGAGCCCCAAGGGTTCTGGAGATGGTGCAGCCAGCAGTTGCAGGCAGCTGGTGTCAGCTGCTCCTGGGGCTGCTGCAGCAGGGGCTGGGGTGAGTGGGGAGAACCAGAGCCCCGGGGGATTTGGGGTGCAGTGCAGCCCAGTGGCTGCAAGCCGCTGGCATTGGCCACTCCCAGAGCAGCTGAAGCAGAGGCTGCAGTGATTGGGGCCTGGTGCCACGGCCCTTCCCCCTCTGCTCACCTCTCTCCTCTGTTCATGGCCCTTTCCCCTCCCCTCACATACTTACTTGTTTGAGGGAGCGGGGAGCACACCTATGCCCATCGCATAAGAGCACATTTACCTCACATATAACACTTTTTGGGTATAAAAACAGGTCTCTATAACAGTGAATTTGCACAACTGGAACCTGCATAAAGTCGAGGGAAATCTGTATTAAGTAATATTACCAGATGTCCCCCTCAAGCCACAGACATTTCCCAGTTCCACCTTGCATATGCCTCCTGTAAATCGGCACATGGGACAGTTTCACCTAGCCATGATGGTGCTGCCACAGCACCCTTGAAAGGGTCTTGCAACATCCTGGTTGAGAATCACTGGCTTACATCTCTTGTTCTTCCCATACACAGATAGTACTAATATTGACCCGGTAAAGTTAAATGACTTAAAAAACATGCTTACCTTTTTTCTTACCAACCAGCCACGAATATATGCTTGCAGTTTAACTATAGCTGCTCTAGTTCTGTGGTATTTTATGCATTCAAGTCTTCTGTCCCACCTAGCTCGCACATGTTTTTGGATGACCAAAGCAGCAACTTTCTGTTGGATAAATTTCTGCCGTTCTTTAAAGCCTCTATATGCTGCCTGAATCAAACATGCAGCTTGCTGCTTCTAAGTGGGAGGAAAAATGTTAAGTAAGTTGCTTCTCTTGTCAAAGTAAGCACTTTGCTTTTTTCATTTATCATAATTCTTATCCATTGGGAAGGGAGGTAAGCAGCCACAGACTTTAACACAAAATAGAGGGTATGGAAAAACAACCAAATTAAAGCAAAGTAACTACCATTAAATCTGGGTTAATACAGTGAAAACTAAAGCAGAATTTAGCCTTCATACAGGGTAATTGCATACACACAAACAGTTACTGTGAATCAGCTCTTTTGTGACAAGCCCCTGCTCCCTGTTAACTCATTTTAATCTGGTAGTTTGCCCTCTCCCCTAGAACCAGTTCAGCAAGTGACAGATCAGCATTTGTTTATAGCAGTATATATTTTTCACAACTTAGTGGATTTTTTTTGGAAAAGAACCTACATATAGTAGCAGCTGAATTTATTTTTAGCAACAATGCTATGAGTGTGATAAGCCATTTTCTGACAAGGTTCTTTGGATAAATCTGGCATCTTTTATTAGTCCAACTGGACTAATTAGAGTTGGTCTAATAAACGAGATCAGATTTACCCAAAGAACCTTGTCTGCCTATGTCCTTAAACCAACACAACTACAACCTATACCACCCCTTATACGCCATTTTCATATTTAACCTTATCATTATAGATGAGGTCAATCAATATTTGGCAGTTTGTGTGACTGGGATTTGATAGCTCCCAATGCAAACTAAAAGTAGGAGCCTATAGTCTTCCAGTTTGATAAGATTCTCAGTTCTCCCCGTTCAGTGCAACCTTAGTCCAACAAGCTTTATTATTCTTCTCTCTTCCTCCTTTAATATTTTTGAGGAAAACTTTTCTTATTCTCTTAAGTAATAAAATATTTAAGTAAGGTACACAGTGATAGTTTCAAGGAAAAAGTACTATACGTTTGCTTAAATTGGTGCCTCAATCTCTACAGTTAAGCCTGTACCTAAAATTTTGCTGATCTAGGCTCAAATTTTCACCTTTTCATTTTTAAGTGCTCCTGCTTTTAATTTTAAAATATTTTAATTCAGTTCCTTGGTTACAAGTACCTAGCCTAAACTTGGATTCAATTAAGAAGGAGTTTCTTTAGGAAAAAGATAACTTGGGCAGAAGTGGCCAATGTGTGGAAGACAATGAACAAGTTCATCTTTCTACAAAAAGTTCTAACATTACTGGCTCATTAGCAGTTAATTACATCAAATTTACTATGACAGTTTTCCATGATATACTGATTGAACATCATCTGTGTCTTAGTGAAGATTAAAAATATACCTTTGCTATGAGTTTCCTAGTGCTGTATCTTCGATAAGCCAACTGAATCTTAACTGCAGCTTCCTTAACTGCTAGGAACTGCTGCAGAGTTGCTCTTGCAGAAAGGATTGCTCTCCATCTCCTTTGAATGACAACTGCTGAGACTTTCATCTTCAGAAACCTAATGAAAACGTACATCAGATTTTTCAGGAAAAAATTATATTTTAAAAATTATACTTTTTATTGGTATTAACTCCCTGTGGTGCCTGTATTCATTCTATGATAAATGACACCAAAGACAAACCTTCAAAACCAAAAAATATGTGAGGGCTGTGAGTGTAAGCATGTACATGTGCGCATAACTATAAATGAAAAATCCCTATAAACTACTGGCCCTACCCAGGCAGAAAAATAGGGCTCAAAGGAAATATGACGGCAATAGAGTAAGGCAAAAAAAAAAAAAAAAATCTTTCAAAAATTATGACACCCCCCAAAATAAACTTGAATTTGTTCATTTCGGCATTTTAAAACAAAAAAATAACTGTTGAGGCTAATGTATTATAGTAACCCTAGATTTCACATATGAAGATAGAAGTAACTGTCCTCTCAATGTAAACAAAAGGTTCGTTCCAAACGAAGAGGTAGACTAAAGAACTGCAAGCACCTATGTGAGTAATTTTAAACATGTGAGTAGTCCCATGGGAGTCAACACGCATGCCAGAAGGGCATGGCTACGTGAACAAGTTACTGTGAGAAAAGGCAGGAAGGATGTGGATTCAGTGTGGATCCACAGAAACCATCTTGTGTGCACTTTTACTGCCTGTAACTGTGGATTAGCTTACTCCACAGTGCAACTGGGTAGATAGTGTAACAGGGAGCCAGAGGCTCCTGTTACTTCAAGGAGAGCGCAGTAGATCAGGCTTCCTGTGTGAGAAGACAGCAGGGCAAAGGACAGTTGCTAAAAAGCAAGCAGACCAAAAACAAGGATAGGAGCTACTAGTGGGGAGCAACTATCCTGGAACTATCTGCAGTGCAATAAGCAGCCAAGGAGTAGATGCTCAGACAGCAAAGGAGTAAAGGCTGCAAGTAGCTGGGTTAGGCTACAGCTGGCCATTAAACAAAATGTTGGTGTTGTGTTTAAGTTTAACCAGAAGACAAAGTTGTGGCTATAGGGGAGGAGAGAGGCCACTGGTGGGGCACTCCCTGATAGCAGCCTAGCCTGTGGTTAGGGATCCACAGGGCTGAGGGGTGAAGCCTATGTGGTTAAGCCAGGGCCTCAGAGGGGTTGCAGCCAAGCCACGGCTGGGGGCCCAGAGACAGGCAGAGGCCATGAGGGCTAAAGCCTGGTGGAGGAGCTGAGAGAGGCTAAAGCCAGAACAGGACCAAGAGCCCAGGGTGAGAGGGCCAAGGGCCTGGTGGGATGACAGCTAGGCAGGGCCAGAGAATCCAGAAAAACTAATCCAGATAGGGTCTGAGGCCCAGGGAAATAAGCTGAGCCTTGCCAGGACCAAGAGTCTGGTGAAGTGGCAGAAAAACACAGGGCTGGAGAAATGAATCTGGAGTGACACCCATGCCCAGGCCTTGCAGTTATGGGGGCAGCAAAAGGCAATGATTACTACTAATACGGTGACTTATGCTCTGAGGCACAGATGGGGCTAGAAGAGCCAGTTTAGTGCCTGAGGAGCTGAACTGGTGTCAGCTGGGCACAAAGGTTGTGATGAGGTGATCTGAGGCTCACTCGAAGTCCCCAGGGGCACCCTTCCTTAGGGCTATAGTATTCATCAAGGCATGGCAAGGAAGGCAGGAAAGGGAGGGTATCCCAAGTAGTTCACTGAGTGAAACATCACCTGTTGGCCCACACATTCACACTGCAAGATAACAGGCAGTGTGTTCTCCTCGTGCAGCTGAAGAGCATGCACAGCTCCAGGCTGCCTGCGCTCTCCTGCCATAAAGTAACCAGACATCTGCTGCTAAACAGCAGCACAAATTGATTCCCGCTTTGTCATAGCCACAAGTTGCAGCACAACCAATCTGTGGCACAACACAACGTCTGCTTGGCCTTTGTCTCATCATAAAATATTTTGTAGCAGCAAAGGCAGGACCTGTTTCCCCACCCTAGAAGTCCACAGATGTCCCAAAGTACAAGACAGCATTAAATTATGAAGCTATAAAAATCAACACAAGTAACAAAAAAATTTAGTAACTAAAAGAAATATGCTATGTGGCAATAATATATTACCAGATTCTTTGCTGTCGGGTTTTGCGGTACCTCTGAATAACACCAGCAGCTTTTACCACAGCAGCAAATTCTTTTCGTGCTCTGTATCCTCGAAAGCAGGTTTGAATCATTCGTGCAGATCTTGTCTTCGCAGCCAACTGCCTGGCTTGAAAACCTCTATATAAAGCCTATAAAAAGGGTGAACAAATATGCAATCAGTTTTGTGTTTAATGGGAAAAAATTAAGGAAAAAAACACCACATGCTTCTGCCCAAATGCCTCTCAAGCTTATTCTTGTAACAAGCCAGGCATGTAAGGTATGTAAAAGGGACCCAGGGGCTCCTGCTAGTTTAAGGGTTGATGCAGCTGGCTATGTGAGGGCTAGCTGCTAGGAAGTGGACCAACTACTAGAGAGCTAGCTGTCAGAAAGCAGACCTCCACACAGCACAGAACTGCAAGCCGCTCAGCGAAACCACCACAGATAAGGGTAGGCCAACCATCAGGCCTAAACGGAAGCCCCTGTAGGTGCCTGGAGAGCCACCTGACAAAAAGGGATGAGACTATGGGGCACTCAGGCCAGTGCCTGAGAACAGGGTATCAGTCTGGCCTTGCAGGCAGCATGGAGAGGATCTCCTAAGCAGGATGGATGCAGAAAAAAGATTGACCAGCACCCAGGCTGTTCCCACAATACAGACATATAGCTACAATACAGACATATAGCTAAGTGGGACTTGCAGCCTAGGAGGAAATTGCTGACCCATTGTAGGGAGTGTTTTTGTTATACAGCCTCTGGGCTGGCATTTGTATCTGATTAAGAAACACAGGAACAAATGGTGGCTGGAGGAGGACAGAAGGCCACACACAGGTGCCTGGGAGGTGCTTCAGATTTTCAGCCTTATTAGGGGAAGGCTTCAGCTGAAAGGGCCAGGCAAGCAAAGTAAGATGGGCCAAGAGCCAGACAAAGCTAAGACTCAGAAGCCAGGCCAGAGGAAGTGGGCCTAGGCTGGCAGTCTATAGCAAAGAGTAACCAGTGAACTAAAGCCAAGAGGACTGAAGCTCATACAAGCTGGTGCACAAATCTAGAATAATATCTGTGAGGCATGGGTGTGGATGTAGGGACAGAAGACAGCCATGAATAACCCTTAAGGCAACTGGTGCCCTGGGGCACAGATGGGGCCAGAAAGGCCCCGCTTAGAGCTTATGGGGCAGGACTAGGATCAGCTGGGACCAGAAGGGACCCACTCAGTGAAAAATAGACAAGGGCTCTCTCTGGGACCCTAAAGAAGCCTCCCTTCTTTTTACAATAAAATAACTCCAACAAGGCATGGCAGGGAAGAAAGAGGGAGGATACCCTAGGAGCCGAAGGGGGATTCGTATGGGCACCAGGGGGTGTCATGACAACCCCTGAGGCCCAATCCTATTGGACATAACAGTAAAAATGGAAGGAGGATAGGGATGGGTAAGGAAGGTTGGGCAGAAAGTCTCTTGACAGTTACTTTACTTCATGCATTTGGGAGCCTTGTGGGGGGACAATTTCTCCTTGTACATAGAGTCAATTTATGAAAGCCTTTCATACATTAATAGTTAACACCACACCACTGACGCAGGTCTTTGTAACAAATTATTCTGAATTAGTGAAAAAAGATGTTGTGATATCCCTGGAAATACCTGAAGCCTAAGTGCAGCTGCTTTTATTTGAAGATATTTTTGTCGCTCCATATTTCTAAGGCAGCGGGTTCTGTAGTGCTGTTGTATCAATACAACTGAAGACTTATACCGAAGATACTGTCGTCTTTGACTAAATCCACGATAAAAAGCCTTAAGAGAAATGCAGTTTTAGTATATTTCATACTGTACTATTGTCTTTTGTTCTTACCATACTTTAAAAGTAAGAGACAGCCCTCATCTACGTCATTTTTCAGAAGCAGATAGTTAATAATTTTTTAAATTGTGAATCTGAAATCTGAGATCTCAAACCTGATAGAAATGTTCACCACCTGCCAAGGCAGACTTGCATTTCATTAAGATAGAACAAGGATAGGATAGCAGAAACAGTCTAAAATTCCAGTACAGTACTTTACCAATAAACAGAGCAGAGGAAAGAATACCTGTTCTTATCTCCCACTAAAATGTCTAGCAATTTATGGGAAGCTCTAGACCCTCCCACCATTCTCCTTTTTTTAAAGACAGTAGGGAAGAAGAGCAATCTTTACATCACTGTCTCAGAACTCTAATACAGAACAAGTGTTCCCTGGAACAAAATGTCAGAAGGGGACTAAGGAACGTCACGTGCATCTCTTTACACAAAAAAAATATACATATGGGACAGAGTGAAAAATAAAAACAAGGAAGAAATTATACAAAGTAATTCAGAGGGTCAGTCATTGCAAACTCATATTAAGTACTGAGCTTGCCACAACAGTCTGTGGAACCAAAAGGAGTGTTCAGTTACTTTTACTGTATACTATTATCTTCTGTTTGCAAAACGTCTTACAATAGTAAAAAAAAAATCAGTGAAGTATTACACATGCCTCCCTCACTGATAAAAATCTCAGAAAGAAAAGATAAAGCCCATGATTCCTGGAAATATTCTGATCCACCAGCGAAGGAAAGAAAATAAGTGAAATTTGAACATTTTCCCCTTCCTTGGGAATCCATCTGGATTTATGAAGCGCACGCTCTCTCTCTGAATTTCAGCTAGCCCCACTCTAACTTGCAATTCAACCTGATGGCAAAGTGAGGCTTCTATTTCCACACCCCTCTTCGGGAAAACCCAGCGTGTGGGTGGCGGGGGAGGCAATCAGGGGGAAATTAGGCTCAATCATTTACTCACCCTAGCTCTATAAGAAAGACATTTAAAGAGCACAGGAAGGGGAAACAAAATAGTACCCTTTTCTCTCTTTGCTCTGTTTCTTCTAAATTACTGGTCTAGAGACTGTTAAAAAGCAATCAATAGAACCTACACTATACACATACCTGAATTCTTATTGTGCTTTGTTTAATTTTCTGAAATCTTCTCCATTCGTTGAATCCCCTGATTCTAGTCTGTATTACAACAATGCTCTTCTGGGTGTGTAAGTAGGCCTCTCTTTGACGTTTCATAGCCAAATGAGATCGGTAGTGATTCTGTAATGTAAGTGCTGCTTTTCTGTACATAGTATACTGTAATTTGACTTTCTGCATCAAGTAGTACGTTTGTAACATAACAACTGCTGCTCTGAGCTTAACAAATTTTCTACGATGCACAGCCATGCGAAGAAAAGACTGAATCTTTCTTGCAGCCCGTATTCGTATTACCAATTTTCTTGCTACCATACAACGATAAGCAGATTGAATAGTTATGATGGCTTGCCTTTGGACACAGTACTCAGCTTTCAGTAAGCGAGCCATTCGACATGCTCTATACCACCTCTGGATCACAACTGTTGAGCCCTGGATTGCCCTAAACCAAGCCCTTGTTTGGTGGCATCGGAAAGCAGACTGAATTACTACCACTGCCACCCTCTTCTTAAGGAAGCGTTTCCTTTCTATGTACATCTGTAAAACTGACTGGATACACTGTGCAGCTACAATGTTTTTCGCCAACAGCCTAGCTTTTCTAGCACGAAAAGCAGACTGAAGGCAAAGGGCAGCTTGTTTTATTTTTGTATAGTTCTTTACTTCAGCTTCTCTTGCCCTCTTGGCTCTGAATCTTTGTTGTATAACTCCAACTGCCCAACATACACGTTTATAATAGTTATGCTGTCTGTGCATACGATAAAAAGATTGTATTACAGCTGCCGAGGCATGCATAATCTTCAGTTTTTGTCGATCTTTCACACCTCTGTAGGCAGCCTGAATGACCACAGCCGATTTCTGCATTGTCAGATATTTCTTTCTTTGAATTTTTCCTTCAACGTAGGATCTATAATAGTTTTGTATAACGACAGCCGAAATTCTCATGTTTTGATATGCAATTCTAACCCTATACATTCTAAATGCTGACTGGATGGTCTTGGCAGCCAAATGCATGTACCAAATATTTTTCCGTACTTGAAACCCCCTGTATAGAGACTGTATACAAATTACTGCTCTTCGAAGAGAAAGGTATTCCCCAGTTTGCCTCCTTGCCAAAAGCAAGGCTCTGTATCTTCTCTGAAGGACAACAGCAGCTGCTTTAAGGGAAAGATATTTTTGCCGTTCTCTATGCATTTTAAAACCCCTCTGAATAACTACAGCAGCTTGGTGCATTTTTTTATGTTCTCTTACTGCTCTCATATTTCGAAAAGTTTTTTGAATGCAAGTAGCTGCTTTCTTCATTAAGGAATACCTTTGTACAGCAGCTTCTCTCAATTTATTGGCTCTGTATCTCTTCTGTATTACTTTGGTTGCCCACTTCACCTTCTTGTAGTAAGAATGCTGCTTGTACATTTGATAGTTTCTTTGTATAATGGTTGCAGCATTAAGTTTTTTCTTTAGCAGCATTCTTGTTCTCATTCCCCTATAGGCAGCCTGAAGAACTATGACAGAATTATACTGTTTTAAGTACATTTCTCTCACGCATTTTCCCTCCCTGTAAGCTCGGTAATGTTGTTGTATAATTCTTGAAGCATGCCTGACAGCATGGTAGGAAATATAGGTTTTATGCATTCTTATTACTGCTTGGATAACTGTAGCAGCCCTATGCATCTGCTGAATTCTCTTCCTTACCACAAAGCCTCTATAAGCAGACTGTATGGCAATGGCTGCTTTACGGAGACGAAGAAATTCTTGATGCTGTTGCTTTGCAAGTACTGTTGCTCTGTATTTTCTCTGAACCATAACAGCAGCTGCTCTAAGAGAAATATAACGTTTTCTTTGCTGGAAAGATCTAACTCTTCCTTGAATAAGGACTGCAGATATACGCATAGTTCTTAAATGTCTCCTTGTTTTCATTCCACGGAATGCAGCCTGGATACAGAGTACAGACTTCTTGATCATCTTGTGTGCGTGTGCTTGGGCATCTCGCTCTTTTCGAGCACGATACAGCCGCTGAATCTGTCTAGTGACCAACGATAACTTTATGAAGTTGCGTTGTTGCCTGTACATTCGATAATATGATTGTATGACTGTTGCACACTGATGCATAATTCTCAATTCTTGTCGAACTTTCATACCTCTATAAGCAGCCTGAAGGATAAGCGTTGATTCACGTAGTTCCAAATACTTTCTACGTTCCATTCTGCCTTGACAATATGCTCTATATCGTTTTTTAATTAAAACTGCTGCCAGTTTCATTGCATGATATCTAATGTTCATGCGGTGCATCTTAAACATTGCTTGAATAGAAATAGCTGCCTGATGCATTTGGTGAATTTGTCTTCTTACTTTTACACCTCTGTAAACAGCCTGCATTTTAATAACTGCTTTCTTTAAAGTCAAATATTCTTGCCTTTGATATTTAGTTTCAATAACTGTACAATACCATCTCTGAACCACAATAGTTGCAGCCCTAAGAGCTTCATATTTCTTTCTGACCACGTAAGATCTGTAGGTTGCCTGTACAATAATAGCAGCTTTGTTGAGTTCCTTTAATTGTTTCCTCGCTCTCATTCCACGGTAAGCAGCCTGCAAGACTAATACAGCTGCTTTTGTTTTTAGGTAAAGCATACGTTGCTCTTTCTTCATACAGTGAGATCTGTAGTGTCTTTGAATCACTAGAGCAGCTTCTCTCCAAGTTTTCAACTTTGATTGATTCACATGCATTCTGTAATAGGACTGAATGATTAGTGCACATTGGTGCTGCTTTTGAATGTGTTCTCTCACCATTCTTCCCCTCCAAATTGCCTGAAGATGCACTACACAATGTCGTAGTTCGACATATTCTTGATGCTGTTTTCTACCTACAACCCTGGCTCTATAATGCTGCTGCATAGTTAGCGCAGCATTGGTTATGAGCCCGAATCTTTTCTGGACCCTGAACTTTCTAAATGCAGATTGTATTTTAACTGCAGCAGCATGTTGCCTTCTGAACTTTTTTCTTACTTGCCAGCCACGAAAAGCTGCTTGAAGAGAAAGCACAGCTGTTCTTGTTCTTACGAAGTTAGATCTTTCTTTGGAACCAATTTTATAGGCTTTGTACAACCTCTGAATTATAACAGAGGCCTGAACCATGGCATGGTATTTCATTCTTGCAGCGTGAGCTCTAAAAGCTGTCTGGATTTTAACAGCAGCAGTATACTGAAGTTTATGCATTTTGCGCACTCTGTAACCTCTGTAAGAAGCTTGCAAGCAAACAGCTGCTGCTTTGATTTTCAAGAACTTCTGCCTCTGACAGACTCTCTCTTGGTGTGCACGATAATGATTTTGAATGATAATAGTAGCCTTATGCAACATTAAATAGCGCTGCTTATCCCTTTTCATTCTGTAGTAAGCCTGGAGCATAGTTGCAGCCTCCTTCCATCTTTGGATTTGTTTCCTGATCAGATATCCTCGTGCTGCAGCTTGAATTTGGACACAAGCTTGTTTCAATTTTCTGTATTCTTCCTGAAGCTGAAAGACATGCTTTTGTGAACGGTATCTTCGCTGAACATAGAGGGTTGCCTCCTTTACGGAACAATAGCGTTTACGTACTTGCATCATCCTTACGAAAGCCTGGATCTTCACAACAGCATCTTTTAAACATTTAAATTTCTTCTGGGCAACATAAGCACGATAACTTGACTGAATTTTCACCACTGATCTCAACATGTGAGCCTCTCTCCTTGCTTGCATTCCTCTGTAGGCAGACTGCAGCACAAGGACAGCAAGATGTATTTTCCAGAAATGAGAGCAAGCTCTTTTAGAAGCAATATATGCTCTACAATGAATTTGAATCACACAGACAGCATTTTTAATGCTTTTGTATCTTTTTAGCTGTTGGTATTTTCTCACATGCGACTGCAACAGAACAACACATTGCTTCACATGTAAAAATCTAAGTCTCTCTCGTCTCATTCTCCACAATGACTGAATAACGCAAGCTGCTTTTATTTGCCTATATAACAGACGAGCTTTCATACCTCTAAAAGCAGCCTGGAGAACTATAATTGCTGCACGTCTTTGCAAATATTTTCCTCTTCCAATTGTTCCCAACCTACAAGCTCTGTAATATTTCTGAATTGTTTGTATTTTTGCCCTCCTTTCTTCATACAAGTATTTAGCATGGTGACATCTGAACCAGGCTTGAATCTTGATGACGCTTTTTCTAACATGCAAATAGTGCTTTCTAGCTACATTCCTCCTATACCAAGACTGTATGACAACAGCAGCTCTCCCTCTTTTAGCCAATTTTGAGGCTTGCCATTTTCGGAAATAAGTTTGCAGTACTAGCGTGGCTTTAACTTTCTGTTGAATTTTGAGTTTTCTCCATCTTCTAAATGCAGACTGAATAATCAGTGTAGAACACTTTAAAGTTTCATATTTTTGCTGAAATTTTTTTGCCAACAAGAAAGCACGCAGTCTCCTCTGAATTGTGATGGTAGCACAAAGAAGTCGTTTATATGCAGCAGCAGCTATCAACATCCTTATTCTAGCCTGCACAAGAATAGCATGGTATCTGAGCTGTAGATATCTCTTCCTAGCGGAATAGCTCCTCCAGTAAGTCTGCAAGAAAGAAGAGGGGTTACACTCCACACATTTAACTGCAGTTACACAAATATGAAAAATTAACTAGCATTTGGGGTACAGTTTTTAAGTTATTTTGACTATTAAAAACACTTCACATCTATTAGTGTTAAACCTCAGCTTGTGGACTACTCATCTGAGAGGTCTCAGTTATTCATTTTGTACTCTGCCTTCCAGATCAATGGTTACACCTCTCATCAACATCAGAAGTGCAAAACACATTTAAAATGGTTTGCTTTTCTTTCTTCTTTTTTTGTTAAGATACATTATCTATGGCAAACAAAGGTAACTAAGATATCCTTGCAAACTGTTCAGCAAGATTAAACACTCGAACTGTCCAAGAAGGCTTCTTACAAAAGAAAAAAGAAATTAAGTAGCATCTAGGATGAAGTGTACACATTTTATTTTGCTATGTATTCATAAATTCTGAACGCAAAAGTAATTGTCAGGGTCTCTCAAGTTTACCTCGTCTAGTACAGGGGTGCTTAACCTCTGGTCTATGGGGCTGTCCCCCATGGGTTGAGAAATTTGGCAACAGGGAAAGAGTAGCAGTTAATACGACCACTCTCCCTGTTGCCAAAATCCCAAGCCCCACATGGCAGGTCAGAGCCAAGTCACAACCATGCCCTGGCATGGCCAAATCAGGGCTGGGCTACACCCCTTTTCCCCACACCCAGCCAGGTTGGAGTCAGGCCGTGCCCATGCCTCCCATGGGAATGGACTGGGGTCGGGTCATGCCCCCTTCCCCCAGGCCAGGCAGGCTGGGGGCAGGGTAAGGTTTCTTTACCATGCAGCTGCATGGTGGGCCCCAATCCATGACCTGGGAGCTGGACTGGGTCCACCAGCAAGATGCAGAACACAGAAGGACTGGTCACTGCCTATCCGGCCCTGCAGACAAAAAGGTTGAGCACCACTGGTCGAGTACACTAACTGCTTTTTAAGTTCCTGGCTGAATTAATTATTTGCTGTCCCCACCAAACCCAACTGTCCCATGACAGTAGAACCTGCATAGGAAAAAAATGCATTTTTAGGGTCTTCAACATTTTGTAGCTGAAGCATCAGCAAACTAACAATAGGTGATCATTCTCATACCAACAAATTTTAGGAAGTGGTATTTTATGGCTTCTGGTGCATCAGTGGAAACAGACAAAACAGCAGTAACAGCTATGAAGAAAGGGTAATAGAAAGGGAAAACTTGCTAGACTAGGATAGAGTTAGAAGTAGTTTCATCTATTGCAACTGAAAAAAGAAAAAAAAAGTTAATTAACATTTGTAGACTTTTCTGATATCAACTGCTATAGGCAAAACATAAGACCATGGATTTTTCCTTTACCTTTCTATAAAGGAAGAGCTCCTTTTAAAGTGGTCTCATTGCTATGTAAACCTAGATAATTTAAAACAAACCTGGATGACTACAGCCGATTCACTTTTAATTTTTTCCAGTCTTGTACGTTTTAGTTGCAAGATTCTCCTCTCTGCTAAAAGTCTTCTCCAGTGTTTCTGAATGAAAACTGCAGCCGTAATTTCTTTCTGTACACGTCGCTGAGACAGAAAATTTATCACAGCTCTCTGAATAATCCGAGCAGCTTTGTCCTTTTCCTAGAAATTTTAGTAAAAATTAAAAAGACTGTGCTCTCTAACATATGCAAAATAAGTTGCAATTTTATATTACTGGGGAGGGGAGGGAAGTAGGCATCTCAATGTTAAGAAAACTGAAATATTTACTTGAATACTAAAATTTTCATCAGAATACATTTTCAGCTTTTAAACAACTTGGTTTCAACAAGAACCTCACAACAATGTTACTTTAAGTTATTTTTTGGATTTTTTTCTCCAAGTGTGACAGTAGCCTGCCAGTGGCTTAAACTTTACCTTTGATCAGATCTAGTGATAACTTTTCTTATCAGCATTCTTTCAAAATTTGAAGTAAAAATAATGGGGTTATTGATACAGTTAACTAAAGTAACTTCTACTTTGATTAGAAAATAGCTTTATCCCATTGGAGTCTTTTCCCCGTCAGTTTTAAAAGTAATCCTGGCAGCGAACTAGATACCAAATTATCTACCTATAATTACTGGGTAGTTAAAAGGAAAAGATTTCTAGTTTTTTTAATAGAGCAAGATCTCCATGCTTCATTGTAATATACCCACTCATGAAGAAGCATTACTCTCAATACCACATAATCACGGCCTCCAAAACTATGCGTTTGTCTTAATTTAGCATTTCTACCTGCACCACTAAAAAAAGTAAGCGCTACTCTCACAAAAGAAAATACCTGAAAAAGTTTTAGCTCTACTTTCAATCTATGTTTCCTCCAAGCTGACTGAATCAGCCTAGCAGCTCGGGTCTCTTTACGAAGATCAAGAAGCCGTGAGCAAAGAAATGACAGGTAGGTAATAACAACCTAAGGAAATAGAAAATAAAACACAGTAAGTGAGGATTTTAGAGAAAAACATGAGTTCATGAACCAATATCAACAATAAAAACATATCTAACCTTCTCATCAGGAATTGTATTAGACATATCTGAATGATGAATCATTGCTGGTATTCCACCCAGGTCAGAAACTGCAGCATTTATCAACTGGAAGTTGCTCTTCTCATTGTCCAAAAGTTCCTTATAGAGGACTGAGGTACTTATAGCTTCATAAACATAGACAAAAATACAATCTTGTTTTGTGAAAGTAAAGTTCAGTGTAAAAAGAATAAGTAAATTCAGTGCAAAAAGGATTCTTAAATATGATGCTTTAAAGAGAATAAAAAAAAAACTCACTTTGGTCAAATATTCCATCCAAAACATTTAGAGACGTATCAGATTCAGATGAGGAGTTGAGCACCAAAGTACCATTTTTTGTACACTCTACTGTTTGAGTAGTACGTTGGCACACAGCTTGTAAAGGCACATAACATGGATGATAGTGATGAATCAAATAACACAACACTCGTCCATCTGAGAAGGATACTGTGAAGTTTTCCACCTGGTTAAAAAAAATAAATTACAGTTCTTTTAAAATTTGGCACTCATTAGCTGATACAAGTTGAAAACACATTCTATTTCACTTGGTCAGAAACATAATTATTCTTATAACACAAAGTGAAACCTTACAGGATGCAAACTGTCTGAAAACAATACTCATTTACTTGATGCTTGCCTGGTTCTCCATTTTTAGAATCCAGAAATGTAGTGGGATGTCTGCTGAAGTGCAGTGCACCTCACAGAAAAGCAAACATTAAAGAAACTGAAGTTTGAAGGATCTTTTATAACTAGGGGTGTACCATTAAAGATATGTTTGGCCATACTGGCCAATACAGATTCAATTGCCAATATGCAGCCCAGCAGCTTGGAGAGTAGCGGCCAGCCAGTAAGTCTTGGCAGGGGTGGGGGGGAGGAGATACAAGTAGAGGCCTCCACAGTGTGGGAGGCAGACGCAGGCACTGCCCAGCCAGGATGGGGCATAAAACAGAGCTGCAAGCAGGTTGTTGGGGGGGGGGAGAAGAGAAGCATGCATCTCCTGCCACTGCAAAACACCACCAGGGGAGGCATGGGGGCATGTGCCCCTGGATTTGATTGCAGGGTGAGGATGGGCTGTGCGCTTTGGGCCAGAGGCTGCACCAGCCTCTTCCCACCGCTGCACACACCCCCATGGAGGCCCAGGGGCATGTACCCTCCAGATTTGTGCGCAGGGCAAGGGTGGGCTGCATGCTTGGGGCTTGGGGACTATGTTGGCCTCTTTCTGGTGGAGAGGAGGAGGAGGGAGCTGGGCTGGGCTACAGCCACCCCAAAATTTGACATAGCCCCTCCGTAGACTCTTCTTTCAGCACTGCCCCCCCAGCACAGCCTCGGCCCAGCCTCCCAGCCAGAAAGAGGCCAGCACAGCCCCCAAGGCCTGAGCACGCAGCCTGCCCTCACCCAGCGCACAAATCCAGGGAGTACATGCTGCCGTATCTCCTTGAGGGTGCACTCAGTGGCACAAACCCCACTACCCCAAACACTCTCCAGATGAGCCGCCCATGGCTCTGTCCCACCCGGCGCCCTGAGCAGTGTCTGCTCCTGCCCCACTCCCTCTCCCTCACCATGGGGGCCTCAACTTCCTCCCGCCCTTTCACCCCCACAGACTTACTAGCCAGACGCTGCTCTCCAAGCTGTCAGGCTGCATTCCTGGCTATGTGCATGCTGTGGCTGTGCGCATGCACACAGCATTTATCAGTGACATTATTGGCCACATCAGTCAAAAAGCTGATTGCCAATAATGTCAATTTTCCTTTTATAGGTGCTGATATAATATGGACCAATGTATTGGTGCACCTCTATTTATAACCTTTCTAAAAGTTACGGATATTCATGCAAGTCTAAAAACATGGTAAAATGGACAAGTATTTTCTTGCATGTGCAATTAACAATGTGTATACACAGGAAACAAAGATGATTTTAAACATGCTACCAAGTGGGTTTACATGCTGGTAGTAGAGTAGCCAGAGCAGCAGAGCTTTGTGTTGGCTGGTCACCCAAATATTTATCCAGCTTCTCAGGTGGGTCTAGGTCTTGCAGTTCTACTACAAAACCCAAGCAAACTAGTTCAGAATTGCTTCAGTAAGTCTGCATGGTCAAAAGTGTAACTGCAGATCCAGTAATGCTCATATCCGAATGCCAACCAATTACTATTGATGGGTTTGGAAGGCAAAGAGAGATAAATATTAGGAAAGAATGCAGAGAATATGTAGATTCTTTGCATGGCACAGTATACATCATCTTGGTTCCTTGATTTTTATTCACAGAAAATAAAGAACCATTATTTGAAAGACTGCAACAAAAGGCATGGAAAGATAAGAGTCTGTTTTCCTATAGGTTGGCTGATCTCCTACACAGGGCTTTAAACTAGGTTTGTCAGGGAACGGGGATGTTGAGGACAGAGCGAGGCCAGGAACGATGAACCAAGAGCCAGGTACTAGAACAGTCCAGGTAAGTACCAAGGGCCCCACTAAGCATCAGGATGGGGAAGTATTAAGGGCATCTACTGGGGGGCTTAGATGTCTCTATACTAATGCTAGGAGCAGGAGGAACAAGCAAGAAGAACTTGCATCCCTGCCTGCAAACAAA